AATTCTGAGGCCCGCAATGAATCGTGTTTGAGATAAGGCAAGCTAGACTACCACGTGCTTTGTTCTGTATCCACTCTGACCAAAGACTAAAGAGGCGGGGACAGAAGACTATTACGCACACATGACAAATGGCCAGGCAGGTCTTAATTCGTTCGATCCCTGTCCGGGCGTCTCCACCATTTCTCAGAATTTGAGAGTCAGATCATCAACATGCCAGGTGCGGGACACTAATCCATCATAAATGTGGTTACCATTCTTACCTAAATTATATTTATGGCCCGTCGGTTTTACCCATGAATCAAAAGTGATTAACATGGTGCAGCGGAAAATCTGAATATTTTAAATATAATTATTAAAATTGCGATATCTCGTTTCAAATTGGCNAGAGTGATTTGCCAAATTCTAACAGGACTTCCTATGTGGAAATTGGATTCTTAAATCCTAGAACACTGCATGGTGGCCAGCCCATTGGTCAGGCACAAACCAATGACCAACTAACAGTGTTCAATTGCTTTATTTGGCCATTGCTGGGCTTGATTTGTGTCAATTTATGGAGACTTTTGGGACACCCTGTATATAAAGTTTATACAAGTAAAATATCACAGACAATAAACAGTAGTAAATTAACATCAAAATTATAGTTTGGATGTAAATTCATTCTTTATTTACATTCACTTTGTTAGCTGCTACATAAATTTCAAAGTAAAACTACATTTTCAATCAGATAGAACTCACTAAGTATATAAAATACATTGTGATTCAAAATTATAACAAAAAATTGAATTTATGGTATATTACCCATTCAGTTTCCACATGAAACAATACTTCCATATAAATACAAGCATTTTATTTAGAATCATCCTGTATGAACAAAACAAGAAGAATCTCACTGCTATAAATACTAATAAAGTTAATTAATTAATCTACAAAATTTGACTTTACATCATCAAATTTAATTCTATTAGAGTCAAATAAAATTACAAAATACAAAAAAAAAGCTTCTTAAAATCAGTTTTCCATAAATTTTCAATTGAAATAACACTATTTCATTCTAACATCAAGATTAAATTCAACAAAATATTTAAAAAATTGATAAATACACATTAAATATTAAACATGATATACATATAATTGTTTACTTGGCAAGAACACAGTATAATGTAGGAACTTTGTTTACACGCTATGCATATTTGCATATTAACAGTTAAAAAATACATTCTGTGTACACAAAACTTTCTAATAGTTATAAGTTATGTAATAGTTTACCGAAATATAAATGCCAATTTAAAAAACATTTTAAAACAATTTCATAAAAATCATAACAACTATCATACTACAATAAAACTATTTTCTCCATTATAAAAGTAACTGAAATGTTTTCACTCTTATAAATTCCTCCGCAATATTACATAATTGACAATTATTGTAACATACCTTGCCTACATAAGCAGCTTTTAATTTTTTAGGAAATCAAAACAAATTTATCATAATGAAGTAATCGACGTTTCATTATTTGTTTTGGAGAAAATCATTAAAAGATATACCGTATATACGCGCAGATAAGATGACAGTTGAATCATAAAAAAAAAAAAAAAGACTGCCGAAATCAGGGGTCGTTTTATAGGACATATATACTAAAACTATAAAACGGTGACACAAATTTACACGTCTTATCTGCGCAGATGTACGGTAATTTCTGCTCTGTTAGTCTATTGACAACTATTTTAACTATTATTAATAATTGCAAAGTTATTCTACTTTTTCCTATAAAATATAATACCGTAATTGATTCACTTATGTGTGAGTTCGTGACGTTTTAAGTTGAAACTCTTTTGAAAGGTTCTTTTACAGATTTGACAACTGAAGAATTTTTTGGAGAAATGAGTTTTTCTATGCGAGCTTAATTCCAATTCAGTTTTAAAATTGCATTTACAAATCTTACAATGAAAAGGAAAGTTTAGATGGTGGATTTTATGACCGTTTAAATACTGTTTTGCCTTGAAAGTCTTTCTGCAGATGTGGCATGTCAAAGGACCGATTTGTTGACGATAATGCACTCCTGTTTTATGGGAATACAAATGATTAGAGGATTTAAATTTTTTGTTACATATATCACATTGAAAATGACAGTCTTTTAAGTGCACATATTTATGTCGAATAAGATGGTATTTTTTCTGAAAGCCGATTTTACAAACATTACATTTGTAAGGTCTGTTTTTGTCATGCAACTTTTCGTGCATCTGAAATGTTATTCTTGTCGTAAAATTTTTCTTACAGATTTTACAAAAAAATGGCTTTTTATCATGTTTTCTTTCGTGCCTTCTCAAATGTAAAAACAGAGTGAAAGGTTTTCCACATTTCCGGCAATAAAAAGAACTTCCCTTATGATCTCTCTCTTCATGTTGTTTTAACACACATTGCAATTTAAAAGCTCTGCTACATTTACTACATTTAAAGGGCCTGACTTCCCTGTGTATTACTTGATGACGACTTAATTGTAATTCACTCTCAAAATATTTTTTGCACACATTACAAGTAAAAGCCTTTTTCTTTGAATGAAGCGCTTCTTTTTGTGGTGGTTTCCATTTACTCTTTACCGTCGTAACGCAGACCTGAGAGGAAGATTTCTTTTGTGCAGATTTAAAGTTACTTTTTGCTGAAAATAATTGTGTTGTGCAACTTTGGATGTGATACAGACTAGTTTGAACATGCAATCTTTCGTGACGCAATAAATATGCTTTAATCTTAAAGTCTTTCTTACAAACACGACACTGAAATGGCCAAATATTGGAATGAAGGTTCATATGCCTTTTTAAATCATGTTGCCACTTAAAACCTCTTCCACATATGTTACAACTAAATGGTCTCTCATCGGAATGTGACACTAGATGACTTCTTAATTTGTATGCACTTTTACAGGTGATGTTACAAATTTTGCAACGAAATTCATTTGTCAGGTAATGTTTTTTTTCGTGAAGATGTAACATGTATCTCCACTTAAAAGTACTAATACATTTACTACATTTATAAGGTCTTAATCTCGCATGCCCTACTTGGTGAGCTTTTAATTGTGATTCGTTCTGAAAGCTTTTCTTACATACATGGCATTTAAACACTAGTTTACTTGAATGTATCATCTCTTTTCTCTGCACTTTCAACGTATTACTGGAATTTCTTTGTTTAAATATCAATTTGTTCCTTTCTGAAAGTGATTCTACTGTGCAATTTTGGATGGAATGTAGGCTGTCTTTACATTTTCTAATGTGTCTCAATAAGTACGGTTTCAACTTAAAACGCTCCTTACAAACATGACACTGAAATGGCCAAATGTTCAAATGAAGTTTAATATGTGTTTTCAAATTGTCTTGCCTTGTAAAAGTTTTTTTACATACGTGACAATCAAATAGTTTCTCACGAGAATGTGAAATCTGTTCACAATTTTCTTTACGAAATCTGAAATCATTGCTTTTGCAAGGAACTTTATGATTTAAATTTTGTTTCAGTGCAGACTTTACTGCAGACCGTTTTAAAGGTCTTAACCGATATTGTGTTGATGACCCTCTGTTGGCAGGTTGTTTCAAAAGACTTTTCAACTGGCTTTTTGAAGCTTCCTTACATTTTCGAAAGTAAATCTTTCTCTTAATGTGAGCCGGTTCATGATATTTTAATCTTTTATAACTTAAAAATTTCATATTACATGTTTCACATTTATAAGTCCTTTCAATAGAATCATTCACTTCACTGTGCAATTTTCTATGCCGAAGCATCGATATTTTCAATAGAAAACCCTTTTTACAAATATCACAATTAAACAAATTTTTCCCAGTATGGGAAGCAATATGAGTCTTGTATACAAAGGCATTATAATACTTTTTGTTGCAAATTTCACATTGAAAATTCTTCTTGGGATAAATTAAATATATTTTTGTACAAGATTTTGTTTTTAACATTTCTTTACAAAACTTATCTTTACATATTTTCAAACATGATGTATGTAAGAATTTTTTACTGTAATTATTACATTTGAAATCATTTTTTCTGTTTGATTTTTCCTTTTCGTTATGAAAATCACTTCTTTTATTTTCTGCAAATATATAAAATTGTATAAAATATAAAGTATATTATATAATTATAGATATGCAATGTGAATATACAATGTATTTAACAGTTACGCATTCAGATTATTAGAACAACAGAATATACATCAAAATAACACACAGAATATAGAACACACATACATTACTGTGATTAAAAAGTTTTTTATAACTATAACTTTCAGTAAAAGCCATAACATAGAATAGACTGTTACTTTTAATAACTAAAAGGTGTCCACAAAATCTGGGTACATAAGGATTAACACATACTTTTAAAACAAAATAATTTTATTTGATTCTAATATTAATAAATAACATTTTCAATATGATTTCCATCATTTTCAATACATAATTTGATGCGCCTTGCAAAATTCAGGTGAATTCGATTAAATAGGTCTGTATTGCCGTCGATTTCAGTACACTGACTTGTAATGGTGTCCACAAATTATGGCGCATCAAATTATGTATTGAAAATAATGGAAATCATATGAAAATGTTATTTATTAATATTAGAATCAAATAAAATTATTTTGTTTTAAAAGTATGTGTTAATCCTTATGTACCCAGACTTTGTGGACACCCTGTATATTCAATTGAAATCAATTCAATTTTCTTGTAAAGCAGTTTAACACAGCTTTACATGGATATAGTTGTAAATAAAAGGCTGCTGTAGCAAGTAATGATTTTATGGGATAGTAAAAGAAGAGCCTGTAAAAAATTTATAGCAATGTTCTGGCATACAAAAATGCTTGGGGCAGTGTCCTGGCATGACTACACCATTAACATGTTAACTGCTATCCGACGTGCTGGTGGTCATACTAATTAGGGCCGTACAGAGCCATACAACGTGCCAGCGGTCAGAGCCAACGTTATAGATGTGTGCAAGAAGCCACACTAGGATGTAAAAAAATGTCTTACAAAGCCAGGATAATTTAACCTTGAGCGAAACTACATTGGTTATAGCAATGTAGGGCGGTCGGATGGCTCTGTAAGGCCCAAATTAGTATGACTGCCAGCGCGTTGGATAGCAGTTAATATGTTAATTACAAAACAGTTTAACAGCTTACTTGTGGAAGAATATAAGTAATTGAAGTATCAGAGGCATTTGATGTTCATACATTTAGCAAACTTCTTGACTATTTCATTACCAATACTGAACTATCATTAAATATTGTAACATATTTTCTATTGTAACATTTAATTTTCAGTTAACAATGTAACTGTTGCATAATACAAAATGCACTCATCAGAAACACAACAGTCAATAAATTATGAGAAATATTCAGATTTTCATTAGCATTTAAATACTCAAACCAAGACTTTAATAATTACATTTTCAAAAATCTGTTGATTTGAATGTAAAAACATCATTTAATGTAAATCATGAAGTCAAATTACACTGAATTTGGTTAACTTTAATAGTTAAAGTAATTTAGAAAAATATATTGTCAAAATATTAAAAACAAAACAGTTAAAACATAAATGTATAAAACGTTTAATAATAAATAGGCCTACATGAAATAATCTAAGTTATGTATAAACTACATATTAATTATACGAATGTTTGGCACTATTTTATCAAATGCAATAAATACAGTTTCTGCTGCACCAATTATGTATTGTTAACTGAATTATAATTTTCTAAGTGTAAATTCATTTAGAACAGTGTTTCCCAACCTTTATTGTGCTATACACCACCTAAGCCTTTCTAAAATTCTTATGCCCCCTAAAATATACAGTTGCTATACAGTTAACTTAAACTCTAGACGAGTCCATTTTCAAATTGCCCATCTTAACAATCCAACTGCTCCCCAGTGGGGCGTCGGACCCACATGGGAAACAATGATTTAGAATTTACACNTACCAATCCTAATCTAGAATGTAAACAAATGCTAAAAAATAGTTATTTTCATGGATTTTCAGTGCTATTTTCACTTACTTTTGTTATTTGACGCTATTTAAATGAATAAGCAAGTTTTCCGAAACATAAAATTGAAGATTTCCCGCCAAAATAGAAACTTCCTGATAACATCGGAAATGACATTCTAACATCATTTTATTCTATTTGATTCTTCAAAAAATCGTTATAATACTATGTATTAGACTTAAAATATTCGATATCTAAGCCAGAAAGTGTTAGCTAGAAATAGACTTATGTATAGAACAACCCCCCCATTTCTCACCTCAGGGAAAGTCATAAAACAGTTGGGTGCTAATGACTGTGAAAGGGAAAAAGTTCTACACTTAGAAACTTCGAAAGAAGAGATTTGGCCTGTAAGTCCGCGGGCCGCAGGTTGTGCACCCCTGCCTTAAGCAACCATCTTCAAATTAAAACAACAGATTTGGAAAGAAACCAAAGATGGAATGTTGTAATTTAAATAATACAAAGAACAATGTCTGATTTGATGTGCTGTAGATGGCCACATGTTGCATAGGAATGTAAAAAGTAAGATTAAATTTAAAATAATGCCCTCTGCACTGATAATAATGCTAATCCATACTCTTAAGGGCAATGGAGACAACCAGCACCTACACACTGGGGCCACGATATGTCAATTGAAACATTGTTTAAAAGAACATCTCAATACAATTAATAAACTACTTTAAAAGGCAAAACTAAAGAATGTGATTCAACAAAAATTTGGTTTTTTCTAAAGTTTGAATTGTATTCGTTAGTTTTGTTGTTCCATTCTGCATAAGTTCGAATTCCGTATAACCGTAGCCTGATAAAGACCCAGATTGGGTCGAAAACATTCGCTGGTGTGTAAACACATATCACTGGAGTTACAAAGGTTTTTTGGATGTGGCGAAGAGGAGCCTCTATAATTTAAATACAAGGAAATGCTAGAAATTTACAAGGTCAGCAGAAACAATACAACTATCAACTACAAAGACAACAACACATTATCCTCAGTATTGATGGCATTACTTGAAATTTAATTCTACTTTTTACATCCCAATGCAACATGTGATCTCCGACATCCAATCACATGTCATATTTTTAGTATTTAAATTATAACATTCCATATTTTGTTCTGTTCTGAATCCATTCAAGATGGTTGCTCAAGGCAATTGAAAACATTCATTTTCTTTCAACATTTTGTTTTACACTCTGGAGTTTGGTTTCTTAAATGATTTTTATAATTTACCTCCAGCATACAGTGTATTTATTACATTCATAGAGTTTGCTGTGTGAATAGGAACATTGTCCTATTGAAAGAACCATCAATTCCTAGCGATACATTCTGCAAAAAGCAAAAGATTACTTGCCAACATGTCCTAATAATTATTTGCTTTTGTACACTCCTACAAAAAACAGGTGAAGTCTTTCTCGCCAATTAAAATCACCCTATATCTAACTGACCATCAGCTTGTTGTCATTCGTAATATAGTTCTTCCATTCTCAAATCATACCAGTAGTGGCTCCAACCATCTGGACCATCAAGGTTGAGTTTTTTCTCATCATTCTAGATCAGGGGTGTCCAACCTTTTTGTTTCTTTGGGCCACATTGGAAGAAGTCATGGAGTTTTGGGCCACAAGTATATATANGGTCGGATGGCTCTGTAAGGCCCAAATTAGTATGACTGCCAGCGCGTTGGATAGCAGTTAATATGTTAATTACAAAACAGTTTAACAGCTTACTTGTGGAAGAATATAAGTAATTGAAGTATCAGAGGCATTTGATGTTCATACATTTAGCAAACTTCTTGACTATTTCATTACCAATACTGAACTATCATTAAATATTGTAACATATTTTCTATTGTAACATTTAATTTTCAGTTAACAATGTAACTGTTGCATAATACAAAATGCACTCATCAGAAACACAACAGTCAATAAATTATGAGAAATATTCAGATTTTCATTAGCATTTAAATACTCAAACCAAGACTTTAATAATTACATTTTCAAAAATCTGTTGATTTGAATGTAAAAACATCATTTAATGTAAATCATGAAGTCAAATTACACTGAATTTGGTTAACTTTAATAGTTAAAGTAATTTAGAAAAATATATTGTCAAAATATTAAAAACAAAACAGTTAAAACATAAATGTATAAAACGTTTAATAATAAATAGGCCTACATGAAATAATCTAAGTTATGTATAAACTACATATTAATTATACGAATGTTTGGCACTATTTTATCAAATGCAATAAATACAGTTTCTGCTGCACCAATTATGTATTGTTAACTGAATTATAATTTTCTAAGTGTAAATTCATTTAGAACAGTGTTTCCCAACCTTTATTGTGCTATACACCACCTAAGCCTTTCTAAAATTCTTATGCCCCCTAAAATATACAGTTGCTATACAGTTAACTTAAACTCTAGACGAGTCCATTTTCAAATTGCCCATCTTAACAATCCAACTGCTCCCCAGTGGGGCGTCGGACCCACATGGGAAACAATGATTTAGAATTTACACTTATAATTAATGTCCTCTTCAAGAAAACAATGTACAACTAACCGCAACTCCAAACTGGTTGTGTAAGCAACAAATATCACAAAATAAAAAATACAAATATAAACCCAATAAAAAATACAAATATTTAATTCTACTAACATTTTCTTTTGTCTAAAATGAATACCATCAGGTAATTTTAGAAAGATAATTGACAAAACCTATTTTTTAAAACAAATTTTCAAATCAGAAATCAACAGGATTTCTGCATTTGAAGTTGTATCATTTACTTATATCTTTGTTAGAAAGTTTTCAAGAGATTTGTCATTTTTAAAATGTTTGATTCATTTTAGAAAAATATGTTTTGTCAGTTATCTTTAGAGAATTACGCAACAATTTTTGTTGTAGATGAAAGAAAACTATCGTAGAATTAAATATTTGTTTTATTTTAGGTGTTTTACGTATTTGTTACAATCTACAACATATTCAATAATTATGAAAATAGATTGAAAACTAATACCTTATGAGCAATTGCATTTTTCTAGGCTGTTTCTACTTGTAAGAACTTTTTGTTTATTCTTATTTTACTTTGCTAGATCATTGACATAAGTTATCGTTTGTTTTACAACAGGAGAATAGATGTAATACTTTTATTATATTTCACATAATGTAAAGTTCTCTAACCCAGAAAGCATGGGAGCTGGCAATAATTCCACACCAATGTGATGCTGAAGTGATGAAAATGCCAGATGACAGAGGTGTTTCTACTTTTGCTCAATCTGTTGAGATAGCCATTCTAAATGCACTTTATAATGCATATTACAGAGTTTTTTTGCATTTCATTTTTATATGCACTTTCAAACATACAATAGACTGCATTGTTACAAGAAATCATCTATCTTATAATTGTAAAACTTTAAGTTCAGTTATAATGCCAAATATATAAGGAGAAATTGTACTCTTGCGACATTAGATTTATTTGTTTTCTAAACTAAATACACGAATTAAATACAATTTCTTCCTTAAAATATATTTGGCATTGTGAGTGAGCTTATAAAGTTTGACATATTATGGAAACTGCAATGATTTTTTCTCACTCAAATCAAGAATCGAGTGGTTTGATCAGTGTAATCAGTTATTCTTCCTCTTAAACTGTCACAAAGCATGTATTTAATTAATCAAACAAATAACTCTAATGCCAAAAGACACTACAATTTCTTCCTTAAAAATCCTTTCTTCTATACTTGTTAATCCTTACTATATTTGTTACTTGACATGCAGTGTTTTTGAGTGTTGTACCAAATTCACTCTAGCATATTTTTAGTTTTTTATTAATGAGCTATTGGAAAAGTCATCTTTAAGACTTCAATACTGTCATAATTGAATAACCCCAGTCTCTGCCAAGAATTTCAAGCTTGCCAGTTTAGAGGACTTTCCAGAAAAACATGTATAACAAATAAATAAGTAAAATACAAATACTAGTTTGAAGATAAATGAAAATATCTAGAAGTTTTTAACAGTATTTTTTTGAAGGATGTAAAAGATAGATAGATGTGCACACCTTTAATCTAATAACAAAACTATTAATTTTAGATTAACTAACTTTAGAACATATGTTATATGTTTGTTTGTTTATTTTTATAATTGTCACCCGTAGACCTCAGTACATTTGACGAGCCTGGAGATATAAAATCTCCCACCTTCTCTCAGTAACCACGTCATCATTGCATCTTGAATCTCATCTTGTCATCAAACTTCTTTCCAGAAAAATGTTCCTTCAACTCTGAAAACAAGTGATAATCACTTGGTGCAAGATTCGGAATTTGTAACAGATTTCCTAAACTTTCCACGTCAGTGTCTGCAACAAATCTTGTGTGATGCAAACATGATACACAAGAGCATTATCTTGCAGTAGGATACCATTTTGTCACACATTGGCTGTTCGTAACATCTTTGCCATAAATGGAAACAAGCTGCCCATAAATTTCAGCAGCAATTTCTCCTTTTAAATAAAGGAAACTAATCACTGAATGAATCTGAAAATTAGCGAGATTACAAATTGACAGGCCATTTTAACACACAATGCAAGCATAACAATGATGTAATTAAAGTCAAATGAGTTCTGTCATATGATGCAGAACCTATCAGACATGATAGTGCAGCAAACTGTGAAAAAATAATATACCTTGGATTTCTACTTGTCTTATATCTTTACTTTCTGAATATGCCTTGTATTATTATTATTTTAATAATTATTTCAAATAAACTCTAAGTACTTACCTGTAATAATTTCAGTTTTAATATTGTTGATAGTAGTTTGCATTGAAGTAGAAGGTGTATCATAATCACAATTTGAATATTCTATATTGTTCTCATCATCATTTTGGCTAGAGATATCAGCTACACAATCATTGACATTCTCTTCATTATTTAAATTTACCATACATTCTACATTTTCCATCTGAAAAAACAAAAATACAAATCTATGTTAGTAATATAGAGTACTTCAATATATAATTTTATGAGAAAAACTCTAAATATACAAATAATATTTTACTGAAATTCAATAACTTTATATATAATACTCGGTAAATAATGTTATAAATAATTTCATGTCTTCAGTTTACTTTGTCATTCACAATTGAGGAGGGTATACAACAAGCGTATGTTATGCCCTCACAGTTGTTAATATTTTCATGGATGCATGCATGAGAAGATCCGAAGTACCTGAGTGTGGAATTAGAATTGGAAATGAATTAGTCTGTCATTTGTTGTATGCAGATGACACTGCTATTAGCAGAGAGTAAGGAAGAGATTTAAACACTTGTGTCTAGTCTTGAATAGGCATATAAGGAGTATATATGCCTATTCGAGACTATTCAAGTGAATGTGAGTAAAACTAAAATGCTTGTGTTTGAATGCAAAGGTGAGCAAATGGATTTCATGATTCATCTGGATAGCAAACAACTAGAACAAGTGAATGAGTTTGTATATTTGGGAAGCATGACAAATAGGAATAGAAGGCTAAACAGTGAAATCAATAAAAGAGTGAATGCTGGAGCAATTTGCAAGGGATAAAAGTATGTGCAAAGAGGTATGAATAGCTACGTATGGGAGGTTATGGTTTCTGTGCTCATGTATCGTAGTAAAACATGGTGTGGCATAACAAGGAGAGACTATGTAAGAAATAAACAAGCATTGAATAAGAGTACAGTAAAAGAGAATATGGTTGAAAAATTTGTAAATCAGTCTTACAATGAATTGACCATGTTGAGTGAATGGAAGGAGAAGAATTGTTGGAGAGTACACATGGGAAAGGGGGATGGGAAGTATGATAGGGAAAGACTAAGAAACTCTCAGTTGGAACTGAAAGAACATGACTCAAAAACAGAATGTGAGAGTGTGCTAGAAGATGCTTGTCTGGACAGGAAGATGTGAAAAAAGTTGCTAAATGAATGTTTTGTAGGCTTATACTACGTTCCACAATCCACGATTCACTTCAATCTCGATTTACCTACAATCTGGATTGTAACCGTCGCCAGACGAACATCAAGCTGTTTGCATGGGCAGTCTGCGTGAGAAGAACCTGGCTATTACATGCGATGATAAAACTGACAAAACTACGCAGTAAGTCACGAACAACAACAAACAAAATGCAAGTTTTGGTTAGAAATACTTTTTCTTGTTATATATCTAATAATAGACATATGTCATCATCTCTCCAAATGTCTTTTATTTCTCTGTTGATAGCCCAACATGTGTTCCACAGCCATCTTGTATTTTTTCACTCACGTGGGATCTCTCTTATGACTGGATCTAGTTTCAAGAACTCTCTTGAATCGATCACGATTGAACCTCGTTTCAGTCGAGATTGAAACAGTCAAGAGGTCACATCACAGCATAGTCGCTGACCTTGGTCACAATCTAGAAATGCTCAGTGCGAATGGGGTATTATAGTCTCCTTTTGGCCTGCTGATTATTCTTTTAGAATTAAGAACATGTATGCATGTATATACTTTATATGTATATGTATGTAAGATCCACCTGCATGATTTCTGTATAAAATTATTCACACTGCAAACTTTGCAAAAATAATTTATTTTTAGCTTGCTTAAACTTAGCATATATAAAAACCAATAACATTTTATTTCAGAAAACAACAATCATCAATTTTAAAGACTTGATTGTTGTTTTCTGTCTGATTTCAATTTGACTGTCTCACAAATATATATGGGAATATAACAAAATTAACTGAAACAATTAATGACATGTTAATAAATTATATTTAACAGAAACCTAATATCCAATAAAGCTTCCTTTGGCTAAAATAACTTTATGAATATGGTCTGGCATTGATTGTACCATATGTGTTTTTGGAGGACAGATGCACTTATTTCTTCCAACTGATGAATTATGGCTTGCTTTAGTTCATCCACACTATTATATTGCTGTCCATTTGCATAAATAGATCTAAGCCTGAATCTCCCAAAGACTTTCCAACTGATTAAGATCAGGAGATAGAGCAGTCCAATCAATAATAGGCACCCTATTAGCTAAAAACCATTAATTTTAGATATCACTTACAAAATCAAAACTCCAGTTCCTAAAACAATATGAAGGAAAATAAACATTTTCATTTGCCTTAACCTGTTCCATGTTTTGCACTTGTTTAAATTCATAAGCGAAAACACTTGTTCGCATACATAGGTACTGCCAAACATGCTTGCACAAAATCGAGCATTGTCTTTCAGTTTTGGAAATGACGTATCTGGCAGTTCTTTGTAGAATATGAGGAGATTAGAATTTTTAAACTGTGATTTCAATTCATCACTGCACTNCAGTGTATTTATTACATTCATAGAGTTTGCTGTGTGAATAGGAACATTGTCCTATTGAAAGAACCATCAATTCCTAGCGATACATTCTGCAAAAAGCAAAAGATTACTTGCCAACATGTCCTAATAATTATTTGCTTTTGTACACTCCTACAAAAAACAGGTGAAGTCTTTCTCGCCAATTAAAATCACCCTATATCTAACTGACCATCAGCTTGTTGTCATTCGTAATATAGTTCTTCCATTCTCAAATCATACCAGTAGTGGCTCCAACCATCTGGACCATCAAGGTTGAGTTTTTTCTCATCATTCTAGATCAGGGGTGTCCAACCTTTTTGTTTCTTTGGGCCACATTGGAAGAAGTCATGGAGTTTTGGGCCACAAGTATATATATTATACTTGTGGCCCAATCCTTAAATATACAAGTATATTTAAGAATTAACATGTCTAGATTATAGTAATAAGCATTAACACTTTATTACGAATAAGGATATTTTAAAAAATTACTTCTACAGACACTTTCAATTTTTATTTAGAAATAAATAAATTCATTTATTATAAAGGAGACAAACAAAAATTTATTTGAAAAACACAAATATTTGTTTTATTTGAGTCTCTAATTAATAAAAAGTGACAAAACACCATTTTAAAGTGCATTTTTATTCAACTAATATATTTATAAATAATATGTAACCCAAAAAGTAGCCAATGCGTCAAATGATATTTTTTACACCAAACTAATAAAAAGGTAGCCAAATCTTGCAACACTGGAAGGAGTTCTAAATAAAGCAGGAGTTGGACTCAAAAAATTATAGATCCAAAAGCACGCAAAGAAGAGAAAGGGCGAAAGGTAAAAGAAGTGAGGAAAGTTGAAAAATTAATGGTCAATATTTTTCATAACAAAAGGTATATTTAACCTTTCTCACTGCTTTTTATCTTTTGGTCTTTCTCTCCTTTCCCCGAATTTGAGTCTATATTCCTTTGAGTCACAACTTCAGCTTTATTTAATATACCTTCCTCATTCACACATTTCCAAGTATTTGAAAATGTTTCCTTTCCACTCAAAATTAAAATGTGTATAAAGGTTTACTGCTTTGTGAAACGTCTTTTTTGAATTTGAGCCATTGAAATAAATAAATAAATAAATAGAATAAAATTAAAAAATCTGTCGGTTTTGTTTACACGTTTATTGGGCCGCATCGGAACTTGCCTTGGGCCGCATGTGGCCCGCAGACTGGACACCCCTGCTCTAGATTATTTGTTTCCACGTGTCCATGCTCATTTTATCCATGGTCCATGGTAAATATTTTGGATAAGATCAGTTTAAGATCACTGTCTTTTCGCATAAGATGGTGATCTTAAACTTTTATCTGATAAAAATCCAGCGTGACAAAATAATTTTTTTCATAGTTAATGTTACTCTTTGTGAGCTTTAGTAATGGGGAATGTTTTCTTGACTTGTATATAAGATGATGGCATGTCTGCACAACTCTTTCAATAGTTGATTTGTCAACACTACATTTGGCGGTTGCTGCTAACTTCTGAAATGATGTTTTGTTGCTGGCAATCTGTGAAACAATGGCTCATTTTGTCCTGTTTGTAAGCTTTAAAGGGCATCCTATTGATTTTTTTAACCTTATCAAACTCCTAGTTTAATAAAGTGTCAATAACAGTGGATGACTGACTTAATTTTTTAGCAATTGCTCTTTCATCCCTAAGAGCAAAAATTTCACCTTTCTCCAAGTGTGCTTGGGGGGTTGCCTTGATCCATTGTTAAATTAGTGATTGTAACCAACTACTATCATTTCTAGTAGTTTCTGCTGGGTTAATGTTGATTTTTGTTCATGATGCTTACGACCATACATGTCTAGCTATAACCATCTCATCTTTTACATTAGAAATACTTAATATATCATTTCTTTATAACTTGGTATCACTTAGGTTGTTACTAGGGTTTCTGAAACGGGATTCCGGGATCCCGGTTGTTTTTTTAACCCGGGAAATTTTTCTTATCCTGGGAAATCCCGCAAATTTCTTAAAAATTCACTTTTTTTCTTATTTTGTGTTAAGGTTGAGGAGTTTTGCAAATAGAAAGCATAATTAACTCATTCACTGCCAGAATACATTTGTATTTATTAATTTTAAACCTACCTATTAGTTTTTTTAAATTTTTGCTCGTTATAGCATGTCACAAATGGTCAATAATCAATATATAGCTTATTTGTGGCATGACTATAAAAATTCTTTACTTGTCGGAACCTGTAATATCTGGAATAATTGTGCTTACGCTGTCTTGAGTTTTAACCATGCCCAG